TACAGCTTAGAGTTTTGTAGTGGTACTGTTTTTCAAGATGATACAAGGGTTTTAATTTTATATATTAAAATTAATTATCAATGAAATAATATATGCTAATTTTACAACAATTTAAAATTCTCTGTGTATTTATTGATATTTTATTTTCTACCCACAATGTCCTTTCTCATTTTCCTTTTCTTCTTAGGCATTTATTTCATTCTTTAAACATTTTAAATAGTTGGTGTTTTGGTAAAACCATAGTCAAGGTTATTACTGACGCACGAAAGAGCATGTTGAGAAAGGAAAACAAACTGAAATTTAGCTGCACTGTGGGACAGCTATATCAGTTAGAAATAGGTATTTTGTACATCAAAGAGGCTGTATCTGCAGAAGTGAAGATAAACAACATATAAAATATTTGTCACTGTCTCTTTTTAAGGCAGATGTTTAGGCAATTGCTATTGTAGTTGTTCTGGGGCCCCCCAACCATACAAGACTCCAGCCTGTTTATAATCTCTATCTGACGTAGGTATAAACAACAATGAAAACAATGCTCAAATTGTAGCCATTAAGTTTGAAGTTACAATAGAAGAGAATATACATAGCTCAGGGTTGAACTGTGGCGTCCTTGGGGCATCAAGGACATCAAGGGGCATCAAGGACTACAAAGTTTGAATTTAGCTTGAAGTTACTGTTTAATGAAGTGTGGAAGTTCTATACTGTTTGGGGAGAAAAAGAAGATTCAAATTTTCCAAGAGGTGACAGCTACCAATCTCTTATTTTTCTTTACTTCTCAAAGAAAAATGACCGTAATAACCTAGTTCTAATTTTATTGGTTAGGAATTCTTTTTTGATATGATGATGTTAATGTTCTACTTTATCTTTGCCACATAATTTTGATGTCTATCTGTCTGTTGGCTGCCCAGAGTTGTTGAGAGTTGGGCATCATACAAGTTTAATTATAGTGGAGAAAATAAATCTAACACACAGAATGGAGACTGTACCCCTTCCTCTTCTCCTTCCATGTTTTCGACATGACCATGGTAAAATTTTTGACCTCAAGCTCAAATCTTCATATCTTTGCCTAATCTTATTAGACCCAAATTGACCTTCCTGCTCCCCATCAACAAAAGCCCCTCTAAATCTCAAAGACAAAGAATACAAAAAGAATAGAAGCCTCCTCACCAGTAAATAGTAAAATCCAAGGGCAGCTCTTACAGGAAAATGGGAACCTAGAAAAACCCCAACTTTCCAACCTCAATCAGCCTGATGACCTCACCATCTCCTTTAATAAGAAACTTCCCCAACTTTGATATTCTCTGGAAAGGCCCATTTTGCCTAATAATAGGCATATCTGTTATTTACACATCTTAGATGTACCTTCAAGGACCTGCCCAGTTTGCCCTAAACTGGCCAGCCAATCAGATCCCTAAGAATGTAGGACAGCCCCCAGCTTCTTGCCCCTCCTATGATAAATTGCTTTATATAGTTTAAGTGTCAGGTGTACAGTTTCTAATACCAATCACAAGGCATATGCACTTTTTCTTTTTGGGAAAAGATGGATTCCTACCCCATAGGTAGGACAGAGTGGTTAGAAGTAATGTTCTTCTCTGGAAGCACACAGCCCTTTGACTATGTTTCTACAAAGACAAAAATATGAATCTACAATTAAATTCAACGCACACACACCCCAAACCACATGTTTTGTAGTTTTCGCATCTAAAACTATAAAACATGTAATTAAAAAATTTAGTAGAATTGAAATATGCAAACCACAGGAAGATGGCATCTTTTAAAATTTCAGGAGAGTAATTATATTCTGACAATAAAAATACTCTAATATGGGTACCACATAGAATTATCTGAAAAGAATCTTCCATGGGGATCTGGATATTACTAAGCAAACCATCTTTCCCTCTTGTTGCTACTGTCTACTTTTCTGATGTGGAAAATGCAGATGTAGATGACCAAAAGTATTTGTAGTAGCTCATTATCCAGGATTCTTTTGAAGAATAAATTATATTAAATAAATTTATAAATGATAAATGATGAAATTGGTATATAGGTGAGACTGAAGCTCTGTGAAGTTCTCTTCTTTTTCAAAGCTCTTTCATCCAAGCTTAGGCTGAATAGCAAATTCATACAGAAACAGCTTTATAAGAACAAAATACCCTCCTTGAATCATAAATAAAATGGGGGTGGATCACCTGAGGTCTACAAACCCACAGTATTTTTTTGTTTATTTACAATATTTATATAGCTGCTTGTCTCACCAAGAAATTGTTCCTCTCTGATCAGTTGTTAATCATTGGTGGCATGATTTTCTACCAATAAATAAAAAACAACCCAAAATGGGACACATGCCATAAAATAGGTTTGATGTGGTTAAAAATAAAATTCTGCCAGCAAAACCCAGAAAATTTTGGTCTGTCCATATGTATGCCACCTTATCCATTTTGTACTATTTCACCATCTGTGTTTATTTCCCCAAAATTAGTGGAATGGAAGGTTGCCTTTGCTAAAATGTTCTGCTGAATATTAATTCCTTAATATTTTAGCACAAAAATCTTCCAAACATCCTGATACTTAATTGATGTTTTTTTTAAAAAAAAAATCTTCTCCATCTCCCCAAAAAAACCCTCCATTGGGGTTGCATGGCTAATAAACTTATGATAATTGTAATTGTAGAATGTCGATGATGATTCCAAATTAAATAATATTCCATGTAGATAGTGGTACATATGGTATTCTGATGGGATTATTCTGCACAGGCAGTTGTAATGCATGCCGCCTACATTAACAGAGTTGGTGGTAAATGACCATACTTAGCTGTGAAAGCCTTCACTGCATTCAGGAAACACTGCTCAGTAAATGATGCAATCCAGACAGAGGATTACTATGCATTTCCTTGCTAGCCTGGCTGCATCCAAGCAATATGGAAATTTAAAAAAAAGCACTTAAAAGCAGCTAAGAAACTTTAATTTTCAAGGTCTGTAAGTGAAATCTGAGTACATCATCCATATAATTTAACCATGTTTACATTCTGAGTGCACAACAGTTCTAGTTTGAAATAGCTCTTTGGACTGAAGCTTTGTCTCTGTGTACACTAACTACCAGGAAAAACACAACAGCAGTATACAGAGAAAAAACACAAAAACATCAGCACCCAAAACATTTGTTACAGCTTTCAAGTGCCACCTGAACCTTTGCTATGTCAGATCCAGACATTGATAGAAATGTTTTGTGCACCTTCCAAACGTTGAAATCCAACTTTTACATTAAAAAGTTTTGTTCCTGTTTCAACATGTTGTTCCTGCTTTATCTGTGCATCTGGAAATACTTCCTAATGAACTTAAAAAGGGATTACCCTCGAAAAGTGATTATTATATAGATTATGGTATTAACTTTTTGTCCTTTATTAATTTGACATTTTTCCGGGTTTTTAATTTTATTATGACTGCATACTTGTGCCTTACCCCTTGTCTGGATTCGCAAAAAGGCCTCTAGTAGAAGATGGGGGCGGACCCTACGCAATCTGCGGGTTCATTTCCGTGATCCCAGATAATTAAGTCATTTAGTAGAACCTTGGCAACTTTAAGCCTGGAGGACTTCAACTCCCAGAATTCCCCAGCCAGTTGAAGTCCACCAGGCTTAAAGTTGCCAAGGTTGGAGACCCCTGATTTAGTAAACCCTAATTCAGTTAGAAAAGGGATGTGCTGAGCTTGTCCATCGAAAGGTTGGCAGTTCAGGGGTTCGAATCCCTAGTGCTGTGTAATGGGATGAGCTCCAGTTACTTGTCCCAGCTTCTGCCAAACTAGCAGTTCAAAAGCACGTAAAAAATGCAAGTAGAAAAATAGGGACCACCTTTGGTGGAAAGGTAACAGTTTAGTCATGCTGGCCACATGATCAAGGAGACATCTTCTGACAGCGCTGGCTCTTCGGCTCTGAAACGGAGATGAGCACCGCCCCCTAGAGTCGGGAACGAGTAGCACATGTGTACGAGGGGAACCTTTACCTTTATCTTTAATTCAGTTAAACATAGGTTAGTGAAATGCACACTCCTAGTTACAGAAGAGCCGTGCAAAAGATTTTTTTTTAAAAAATAATAAATTAGTAGCGCCCTCCAGTTTGGGGACGTTGAATGCAGCACACCGGAATACATTTTAAAGAATTTTCCCTTGTCCAAGCGAATGGACAAAACATTCAAGGTTTGGGGTCACAGAAGTGGAGATGCACGGAATCCTGCTTTTTCCTCGGCGGGGATCATGGGAATTGAAGTCCAAAACAATGACGAGAACTCCAGGCTGGGAAAGCCACGCCGTTTTTTTCCACCCCTCTAGCGGTTTCTTCTTTCTCACCAGCGGAGAAAGCCGGGCCTCATCGGAAGCTCTCCACATTCGCTCGAGAACAAGGGGAAAAAAAAAAAAAAAGCGCTCGGCTTTTGAAGTGGCTTCCGCCGCGCCTAGGAGAGACAATTGCCAGCGCGTGCGAGGAAAGGGAGGCCCCAAGGACAAGCTGGGGCGGATCTTCTGGCCTTGCCCACCTTTAGGCGGGAAGGGGTGGCGGCGGCCGTCGCGCGTGGCGGCGCCCCACCCGTGGGGTGGTGGTGGTGGTGGTTTGTAGCCGCGTGGGCGCGCTCAGGGCCACCAATCGGCCGTTGGGGGGGGGGGTTCCCTGGCACGCGCGCCTCCTTCAGTTTTTCCCCCCCCCACTATCGCTCCGACGCTTTTGTCTTTTCCCCGCGACGAACCAGCCTGAGGTGAAGAAAGCAGGGAGGACGGGAACTGACTGAGGGGTTGTTACGAGCAACCGTTCCCTCTGCGCCTTTTTTTTTTTTTTTATCTCTGCCCGCCCTCAACAACCACCCTTGGGCTGCTTCTTTTGTGTGTGTGTGTGTTATTATAATTTCCCTCCCCTTCTTTCATTCACGACAGTCGAGAGCGAGAGAGGGAGGAGGAGTTACTATAAGTAGCAGCGGCAGCGGTTGTAAAGAGTGCCCTCTGAGAGCTTTTTCTATTTCCCCCCCCCCTCTCTTTCTCTTTTCCCGGCGCTGCCACCTTCGAGCTCGGCGCGCGGCAGGTCCCCGCTTCGCTTCCCAACTCCGGCTCCTCTTTTCAAGCGTCCCTTTTCCTTCTCTTCTCTTTTCTTCAAAAACACACACGCACGCACACACGCACAAAACCGGCTGCTGTAGTAGAAACAACCCCGGCAGACGAGCTAGGTGAGTAGCCGATGGGAAGGTGGTTTTTTTTTTCTTCCCCCTTTCTTCTCCTCCTTGCTCTGCCCTTCCTTTCTCCTCTACCATCTCCCGAGTGGGATCGTGGCTTTCGAGCCTTTGCTGTGAAGATGCCCTGAATGAGAGAGAGAGATCGCGGGTGGGGAAAGGAGAGGAGAGGAGAGGAGGAGAAGCCAGTCCAGACCACGCTAAAGAGAAAGCCGCGACCACGGGGTGGGTGGAGGTGGAGAGTGGGGAGTGGGAGGCTCGCTCCGCTTTCTCCGTGAGCCGGGGTCGTAAGACGGATACTCTTCAAGCCGTGGCTGTACTTCGGCGCCCAGCCACATGCCAGGCTTTTAGGAGTCCATTTTGCGAGTAGCGTGTTGCATGATGCAATGTTTATAGCGATGGGGAGAGGAGGGCGGAAGCATGCGCCCTTGCCGTAGGTAGATCCGAGCACGCGGGGCTGGATGGATCTTCTTTCCGTTTGTCTCTCCTCCCGACCTCTTCCCGGGGGCGCTTTCCAAGCGATCCCTTCCAGGCTCAGGTCCCAGGCGCTGGAGCGGCTAAGCTAACCGGGTTTAAGGGATGACAGAAGTCCTTCCTTAAATGGTCCTTTTTTTCGGATCGTGCAGTGTCCCCGGGGTGGGGGAAGGGAGGGAGGGCGATGGTTCTTTATAGTGACTCATCACTTAAAATCCAACAACTGGACCCTTTTAACCCGTAATTTCGGGTTCGGGATATTCCCCATGATGCAGCTGTAACCTGCGAATTAAATAAAAATGTTCTGCGTTTATTTCTGGTAAAGAAGCTCGTGTTTTCCTTGCTGTTCTATGGAAAGAGTAGAGGGAGGTTGCTCGGTGTATCGTTAATGGTTGTTTTATGAATCGGGGTTTTTATTTTTCTGCCTCCTTCCTCTTGCGATCTATGAATGGGACACAAGCAATTGCTCTAAAACCGTATATATTTCCTAGGCAAATTATACACAAAAGTTCCAAAATTGGTTTCCATATTGTGTCTTCTCGTGTCTTGCCTCCTGCAGTGAAAAATTTGATTCTGAAAGGAACGATGACTCCTTGGCTTAAGTTTGCTCAGGAAGTTATATTGTTACTTCAGATATCAAGAAATCGTCTCCCGCTACCCATCATAGCTGCTGTCAACATAAATAGCTGTAGTAACTACTGTATCATACCGTACTATCCTGTCTCTTTCTTAATATGAGGGTGAACAGCCCCCATCTTTTCTGTTCCCTGACCATACTGCTGAGTTGACTTTAATTTTTATTAAAAGGATTTTGTACAGTAATAAAACTATGCAGATTTAAAGAAAAAGAATAAATAAAAATACAGAACAAATGAATAAACAGAAAAAGTAAATAAAAGAAAGAAAAATAATCTGTTTCTGATCTTTACAGCAGTTACAAATAAGATTATCATCTATCCTCCTCCTTTTAAGGTTACATCATAATTCCCTTCCAATATTTATCCTTTTGACATATCAAATCTATAAATCACCAGTTCATTCCCCCCCCCCCATTTTCAAGAAAAAGTTCATAAAAGATTTCCAGTCACTACCCTGTTTCCCCCAAAATAAGACATCTCCTGATAATAAGCCCAATCGGGCTTTTGAGTGCATGGCAATAAGGCCAAGAGCTTATTTCAGGGTTCAAAAAATATAAGACAGGGTCTTATTTTCAGGGAAACACGGTAATAAATGTACTTGTTATCTTCTCAATCAAGAAGTTAATTTTACATTTTGGCAAATACTATCATTAACTATTCCTTCATGGTGGATATTTCAGAATATTTTCATCTTTGTGCATATAGCAGTCTTGCTACAACTGCCATATACAAAAGCAATTGTCCATGAGACTTTCATGCTGCTGTATTTTAATATGGTGGTTTACCTGCTATTTTCTGGCATGCAATAGATTGAAACCCTCAGGTAAGTCCTAAAGTAAGCTTCACACAGCTTTAAAAAAAAAATCCAGAGAACCATTGTCACTGGACAGGAGATACCAAGACTGATGTTAGGTGTCTGCAACCACGAATTTCAACAGCGATCATTGTCCTGGTGACCCTCCACTGATTCTGGCTACATGAACCACATTTGGACATGAAAATATGTTTGCACACTTGTGAGACTGATCTTTCACGAACCACTTGTGAGTACTTAGGTTTCAAATGACTCAGATGGCTGTAGACTGTCCAGTCTTTCTAGATTTTGTCATGGCTGGCTGGCTGGCTAATAATCCTTTTTGTGTGTGTGTGTAACAGGGAAAGGAAATTAAAATTCTCTGAAGGTTGGAGCTATTAAGATTACAGGAGAAGAAAGGGTTTTCCCCCCACTTATTTTCTGTTCCTCTTGGGTGGGATGTGGAAGATAAAAAAGGGAGAAGAGAGGGTATGCCAGAGGAGTCTCATGTTGAAACTACTGTGGCATCCTGACTCTTGTATCTTTGAATATTGGTAGAGAGTATTAATTTCTAAGTAACGCTCTTCCTTGGGTGTAGATGACACAAGGAACTAGAGGTAATCGGAGTTATGTTGAGGGAACTGCCACTCAATGTCAGTTTACGTTATAAACTATGTAAAATCAGATCAAGTAGGTTACTCAACAGCAAACTGATTGCAAGCTTTTCTGGCTAGCCATGAATCATTTATTTTGCATAAATCAAAACACTGTACACAATGCTAGTTCAAAGTAGTTTGGTTTTCTATTTTGGCGCCTTAAGAAGTCATCATTTCTCTGATTTGCACACAACAGCCTGCAATCTATTGTTAGGACTTTAAAATATTTTTAAATGTGTGATAGGAAAATAGAAATATGCAACCCAAATAGGTAACAACAGGTTATGCATACTATGTCTGAACCCTGCCAGTGAAATGAACTGACATTAAAGTTTTGTCATTCCTTGATTGACTTTATTTAATTCTGAAACTGAAGGGAAGAAAAAGATAAGTAAGGTTAAATAAATAAAGAGTGAAACTAACACATGTATGAACTGGTACAAATGAATGCAGACTTTGATGCTTTTATTACTTCTGCAATTATGATTTTGTAATTATAGTGTAATTATCTGAAAACAAGCTCTCAGCTTTGTTTATTCTTGCCTTTTGAAGTATTTTTTGTCTATTGTTAGGACTAATTCATGCTTTTTGTCATTTATGGAATTAATGTACAGTAATACATTATAGTTTTCACTGCAGTTTCATTGATCTCCAAGGTTCATAGAGAGCATAAACTATGATGCAAAATTGCTGCAACTGTCACCTACTGAGTTATATTGATCATACCTAAAGGTGAGCTTCCTGTTACTATTGAGAAATATGTGCACTCTTCAGAGGAATAATCAGACTTTCATTTATTTGGTGTTAGTATGGATCTGCTCCCAGGTAGGTGTCAGAGAACAAAATAAAATAGAAAATTGAGTGATGCTTTGGCAGTATGCACTCACAAGCATGCAGCTACATTAGAATTTTTGGAATGATTTGGTAGGAGAAACAGCATTGCTGCTTCCTAAGCTTTGATGCCCTAGACCAGGATCTATTCATTCTTTGTCTAAAGTTGTTTCTGAACAGCTGTTATGAAATACAGTGACACTTTCAATATTTCAGTATAAAATTTTCCCCTTCTGTTTGGACAGAATGAACTGTGACAAGATAAACTGAAATTTTACTTTTCATTTTCTTTGTAATTAGCTTCTTGGCATTTTTTGGAAGTGACTTTTTGAATACATAATTAGCTACCCGCAATGGTTCTTGCTGTATAAAACTGCATGAGTGCATCCTATTGGAATTTGCTATCCTATTCTACTTATCTATTTTTCATTATGCCTTAATCCCCTTGAGAACTGCTTTCTTCCTTTCTTTATGGAAATCTCTTGTATGCCTTCTTAATAAGTACAAAATTAAAATAGAAAAAATATATCTTCTGATCACTTGCTACAACTTGTAGCATTAATGCTCCTCTATCTAGTGAACTTGTTTTACAGTATATGGAATTGAAGTTACAAATTTGTATCCTTATGCTCATGTGTGGAAATGATCCCAGCCATGTGATTTCCTGACCATATACCTGCAATGCCCTTTATTAGCTTTAGCACAGATATCAGTTGTGACATTCTTTGGTTTAGACTATTACATTACAAGACATATGGTCCAAATTAGGTTATTTAGATTATCAACTGAACTGAGCAGTTTCTATTATAACAGGTCTATACTTCATCAACTGTAGTAGCTTCCAGTCCATTTCCACACCCATTTTAAGTGCTAGTTTTAACCTGTAATGGTATGCAAAGTACAGGATATTAAAAGAGGGTGCCAAGCTGGTGTTTGGCCTGTGTTTGTGAGTGGCTTTAAGATTCACCCATATCTTTTATATATGCCAATTTGAAGATACTGTTTCACGTTAACTGATGATGTGATGAGTTGTCAGGTAGGTATTTATAGTTATCAACTGTTCCATAGAAATAATGTTTAATTTAATCGACAAACACGTTTTACTGGAAGAAAATCATAATTCCCTTTTATTAAATTCTGCGGGGTTTTTTTGATTGTAGACCAGATTTGGAAGTTTAACAGCTTGTCCTCGGCATTCTCACAAAATGACTAGCAAGGATAATGTGCTCAAGCACAAAATATTAAAGCAGATCTTACACCTTCTTGCTTCCTTAACTGAAGCTGTGTTTCCAGTTCAGTTTGCTTGTCTTTTTATTAGACAGATGGGCGTACTTTCAAACAAAGCTGTAGGCCTCAGCCATTGGCCTTAAGAAAATTATTTCCCAATATGAATCTAAAGAACTCCCAATAGCATCTAAAACATGCTACCTTTCAATTTAAAAAAAAAAAAAAAACCTAGAAAAAGTACCAGGTCAGGCATGAAGCCTGGTGAGCATCAAAGATGGTGTCATATTGGAACCATACTAGTTAGTGAATAGACCACCTAAAGTTTGTGCAGGGTCAACCAAGCAAAATAGTTTGGACATTTTAGCCTAGTCTAATTTG